GAAACTTTTTATAGAAGGAATTTAATTAACTAAAACTATTATAAAAGAAACAAAATCATAAAGAAGACCATAGTTTATTCTAGTAGTATAAACACTCTTGTTTTCCACCATGCAACATTTGTCAAAAACAGTCACGAAACAGATAGGCAACTGGATTGAAATAATACTGCAATAAATCTTCCTCTTCTTTTTTTCCCCTCTTTTTCTTTCTTTCTCTCCCCTATCTAATGCATGCTTTTTTTTTACTTTCTGTCTATCTCTCTCTCTCTCTCTCTCATCTACCTATACCTTCCGATTTTTCTTTCAACATGAAAATTTAATTCTTGAAAGAGAAGAATTTTAATCCGTGCTTAATTACAAACTCGTGTTGCAAAAATTACCCAAAAACTTTTTATTAATTGATGAAAGTTTGAAAAAGAAGAAAACTATAAAGACATATAGATAGCTTCCTAGTTGAATTGATGGTTTATTAACTATAGATTTTTAATTATTAATTATCATACTTGTCATACAAATTACTACGAACTGAAAACAGTAGCCAAATTAATGTAATAATGAACATGCTATCACAGATTGAGATATTCATAGATTGATATTTGTAGATAGTCTATATAATTTAAAATTTATTGGAATTTCGTATTTTTAGTTAAAATTTCCTATGTTTTTGTAGAACGGAAACATTTTAATGACAATTTGAAAGGGAAAGAGAAGAAAGGAAAACAGGTAAGATTTTTTTAAATTGAATTTCGAAGGAGAAGAAGACTTAAAAATCTTCAATTCTCTTTCAAACCTCCTTGTGCAATAGGACAAGTCAACGAAGGATTTCTTTTAGGTGATTTATTATTTCAACTGTAAATTAACTTTACCATAGCAACGTAATTCGGTTAAATATATAACTTGAAATATCAATAATGGAGAATAAAAGAGCTAATTTAACGTTTAATAATATTAGTATTAGACAAATATTTTAAGAGTTACTTTAACCAATAAAAATAAAAAGTTAATGTGAAACGGAAGCGGAAATGCTAAAAATAGATAAAAAAAACGGGTTTGCCGTGAGAGAGATCGTACTTTTGAAATAAGCTGACAACAATGAAATTTGTCTGGTCGTATAATACGTATCGGTTTACTAATCAATAGTTTTTTTTTTCGTTTCTATGGATATAAAAAGGGAATTTTTGGTATCAAGTTTAACATATATATATATATATATATACTGTATATACTAATATATATATTAATAATTATTCTTATATATCCTAAATACTAAATATAAATGAATCTTATACTAAACGTAAAACTAAAAGGAAATTGACATATCTCTGTAGTAAAAGATCATAAAGACGCTAAAACGACTATATCTTTCAAATTTATCTATAATACTTTTTATCCATCTAACTTTAGCATCAAGTATATTTTATTTCATTAATATATCAGAGCTCCCTTTTTAGACCTTGATTTTAAACTCTACAACAGTATATAATCTAAAAAATTGAACATTATTAAGATACTATAATTTATCAATTTTTCTTTCTTGCCCCGTATAATAGACCTTTTAGGATAATCAATTCACTAAATAGAATACTCAAAATCCAACACGTAGGATTAAAATTTTAACCGCTATACTAGACGTTCCAAAAGTTCTAGTAATACGTATACAAATGTGAGAAAGTGTGTCACTATAACAATAAATAATCTATGCCATTTCTTTTCTTGTATTCGTCTTTTGCAGTTGACAATTAAAATAGAGAAAGAGAGAGAGAGAGCCATGAATAACCGGAGAAATTCTATATAGTTAGCAGGTTACTATATAAATTAAATGACAGAAACGTTTATAGATTGAAATCTATAGTTAGAGTTGTTGGGACAAGCTATTCCTTTCATACATAGCAATAGTTAAAAAACAGATATTACTGTATACCATACATCAATATTTAACTTTTTATATCAAATATTATATGAAAAGTACCCTCAGATATATGATATACTGGGCAGTCTTTGATTTTCAACAACCATTACATATTTATGTTTAGATACAATGAACAATGCCCAAGCTAGTACAAGCAAACCTTCCTAGAGAGCATAAACTTGAACAAAAGCTTATCATTAAGGAATCTATATAGTTTTTTCAAGAAATAGTGTAAGTGTATGAACATGTATGGTGATTTGTAGAGATAAGAGGAAGGTGATTTTACCTCTTCTGAGATAACGTTAAGGAAACCGTTAATACATTATCTAAAAAATTGAGTGTCTATAGGAGATAGGTTCCTGAGATAAGTATTTTAATAGTTAAAGATATCTAAATTTTATTACTTTCATCATTTTACAAAATAAAAACTTTCCTTACGAAAAACAATAAAATCCAATAACAGTTTAATAAATTCTAACGAAAATGACATCTTTATAACATTATCAGAATATCAACTTATCAATTCTAAACCATAATTTTACGACTACATTTTATATTTACTTTCTATTAATAGCCAGTCTGTATTGTATCTTATATACATACTAATATATATGGGTTATATGTATACAGAAAAATTTTTCATAGGAACTACTCAACTATTTGAAATTGTTAGCAGTTTGAGCTATTTCCAGCTAGAAGATAGCGTTTGCTCCTATCTTTCTGGAAGAATAAATGAACAAATTAATTAACCTCTCAGCGAATATCGATGGTTTCAAGGGAATCGACAACGTTTTATTTCAACCCTTTTCTTTCTCTTTTCCTATTGTAAATACTCTTATTTTTCTGGCATCTGGACTTTTTTTTTACTATTGTCCCCCTTTCTTTCTTTCGTTTGGCAGAAGAGCAACATGTTTTATTCATCTACCTAAAAATCAATGAGAAAGATAATGTGGGAGGATGTCTTTGATGATTATATATTTATAAGATTTTTCTTTTTTTATATCTGTCCTTGAAGTGAGTTTTTAATAATACTCAATTTTCTAAAACATCCCTTATGAATATTAAATGTTAAAGCTGAATAGAACAAAAAAAATGGTGTTTAGTCCTTGAAATAATGTAATTAGGATCATTACGGTTAAACTTAATCTGTCTGTCTCCCTTTCTCTTTAGCTCATGCTCTGTCTTTAGACTATGACATTAGAAATAATAGGGTTACCTTTCATAATCAACGACATTTAATCAATCCTTTGATAAAGTAGGTTAAGGTCGTCCGAGAATTATTAATTTAGAGTTGAACGAAAAATGAACCCAATTTTTTCTCAGAATAGTACAAGAGTGAAAATATACAGTTTGTAGTTTTTTCCTCAGGGACTTTAAATACTCAAGATAAATTCGACAATTTTGAAAAAAAAGGCTTTTTTTCCCTCTTCAAACTAAGAATAAATGACTCGATTATTATTTTTATTATTCTCCGTTAGGAGTTATACTTAATACAATCTACAATTCTTCTTCTACCATTGTTTTTTATTCCTCAATTAAATTATAAAAATATTCATTTTTAATTTTTCATAAGTGTCATTTTTTTTAAATATTGAAATAGTTTATATATCTTTTATTTAATATAGTCTTCTTTAAACAAAATAAAATATGGAACAGTTAATTAATTATGTAATTAACATCTATTCTTCTTTCTGCTATATTTCTCTTATTTATCTAAAATAAAATTAACTTATTTATTAATATTCTTCACTGAAGAAATATTCATATTTAATAAACTTTTAATACATTTTAAATAAGCAGTATTCTAGTTATTGAAATATATGGGATAACAATATCAAGAAAGGAATATTAAAACAATGGCTGTGACCATGTAAATATAAATATAACCAAACAAATAAAATTCTGTATTGTACATGCAATTTCCGGTCGATTGCATTTCATCACACATCATTGAATTGTAAATTCTATATGTTAGAAAATATAATCCCTCCTGATATATAATACTAAGAAAAAATACTTTGGTATCTTTTCCTAATGGCCAAAGTTGAAACCTTGTGGCCCTTCGAGTCTTTTTTTTTCGATTTTCGTAATCTAAATGCCTTATATTTTCTATATACATAGCATTATATACACTTCAAGGAAGAATCTCGGATTAAACGTATAGGCAAAAATCGAAAACATAAAAGTTTCTTTAGGGGAATATTCATCATAAAGTTGCCGGATTAAGTAAGTTCTTACTTATTGTTGACTTACTTTCATGTGAATGAAGAAAATCCTTCTAAGAACATTTGAAATCTGAAAAAAAAACACTTAGAGAAAAATATGTCAAATAAGCAATAATTCCTTCCGTTTGTAATACTATGATTGTTATTGATAAAACATATTGTTTAAGTGTTATTTATGATATTTAAATTAACTAAAAAAGAAGAATTTAAAGCCTCTTTTTCCTTATATTTCCCTCTTTTTCTTTAAACATTTTATAGTAGAATATTTTTACTTAAGAGTAATAAAGTTTCTTAATGAAAAAGAGAAAGACCTTTTGTGTCTCTAAAATGTTGGGTTTTCTCACCTTGAAACTTCGTGAGAGCGTCTTAAAGCTACTAGAACGAAAGGAGAAAAAAACTGTAACATCTTTAAGTAGCTTTCCTATAGTACTTCATGAATATATTTTCAAGAATGACTTTCTCTTAAAGTGTATACTTTTAATGGAACTATTTAATCAACAACAAAAAGAATTGGTAAAAAAATGGCCTAATTGTATTTATCCTAAATGGTAATTTTCAAAAGCAGTTGAGAGCTGTCTTCCGGCCAAAAAATGAGTTTACTTTAGTAAAATACAAGCAACAATTTTTAAGTGTTTCGACTTCAAACTGAACAATAAAGACGATGTTCAGTTGTTAAGGAATCGATAATCCATCTCTTACAACTTCCTTATAGTCAAAAAGTGCTTTAATAGTTTGGCTATCATAAAGAGAAAACACTCAATAGAACCACTTACCTAAATAGATTATTTTTATTGAACATTCAAACAAAATTAAATACATATATATATATATATATAACTTTAAGAATTATCAGCTTTTCTTTTTTGTGGCAGTAATATGAAGCGCATATATTTAAACTTTCTCTATCTATCATTAACCTTATTAATTCAATTTTGCTTTCAAGCGAGAGGGGATGAATTGCAAGAAATTCTCTATGAAGTTTTCCATAATGATTATTGTTATTCAAATGTTATGGATTCTGAACACTTTTCGACTGGAAACATCTTAAAATGTTCAATTCTCTGCTCTCAAGCGAAACAATGCGAAAGTTTGTCATTTGACAAAAATCAGAAAATGTGTTATTTTTATCCCAATTCATTTGGTACTGAATGCCATTCAAAAGCTGGAAAAGTTTTTGCTAGACCAGTTTGTATTATTTCTTATCTCTCTGGACTATTTTCACATTCTTTCTCTTCTATTAATTAAACCATATATTCAATATTACAATATGCGTCTTCTTTAAAGGTAAACTTGTTCACTTACGATGATTTTGGAGAGAATTCAGGTTAGTAGGCTAATATAAGGACATACAGTCGAATATAGTTTTTATTCTATTTTAGATGACAAGCCTGCTTTTTTCGTATATTCTGAAACGTCTCATGGTTCGATGACTCCTGGGTCAAAATGTAATTTTGAATTCATGGACTTCAACAATAAGAATCTATACAAAATATCTACGAAAGAAGCCGTCGTGAAAGAAGATGGAATGTATATTACAGGATTAAATTTCGCTTTTAATAAATTCGCAAATGAGATCATCTTAAGGAACTCTACATCGAAATATGACATAAAGTTAACTTCTTATCAATCTGGTAATAGTTATTCTTTAAATAGTATTACATCTTTCGATTACTTTTCTGCTGAAAGCATAGTCTTTCCGGAAGTTTATTATATAGATGCAAAACCTATTGGCACAATGAACTCGAGAATTCTTTCGTGGTTAATGTTTAAATACGATAGTCCCGAATATCTATCCGCAACGACTCTTGGTGACGATACAAATGCTGGTGAAACCGTTCACTATCAAGATGTGAGAGAAATCAAAGGTATCGAGATCGAAGATACGCGAAAGTTTCGAATTAAGAAAAAAGGAGTGTATTATATCAATCTTGGAATTACTGCTGAGGGTCCAAAATTTAAAATGCTATGTTTTGTTAACGATATGTTCATTGTACAGTCTGGTATATTGAGAGAAAATAATTCTAACGATGATACAATATCGAGAGCTTTCTCCATATACTTATATGAGAATGATATATTCCATTGTAAGGTAGAATTTGGAATACTAAGGGGCTTTGCGGGAAGTTCTCTCACGATGTTAAGAATAAAAGTTGGTCGAAGATATCCCATGATTTCAGCCGCAACCGAAATTTCCTCTCAGGGTTCACCAGCATCTAACCCTGTTCCTTTCAGCAAAGTGTTTGTAAACGAGGGCAATTTTTGGGATTCTTCGCTTGATACGTACATGATAAAAGTACCAGGCATTTATTTTATGTACATGGGAGTTGGTGCGACTGATAATAAAAATGTTCAGTTTAAACTTATGATTAATAATCAATATTCAGGTGGTGTTTTAAAAAATGGAAGATCAGCTGGAAAATTTGATATATTTAGTCGTACTATACTCTTGAAATTACAGAAAGGAGATGAATTATACTTTGAATCGGAATCCCCTTATGGTTTTCGCAGTGATTTCCATTCAACAAGTTTTACAATGTTTTACGTTTCAACGATCTAATTCAACTCAAATAATTTAACATTAGCTAATTTCTTTGCTATATTTATTCTTATTCTTAACTATTACATTCACGGAGCAATTTTAGTTTCCTATTTGTTCAAGTACTTCCTGTACTACTCCGTTTACCATATCTTTTTTCCTTTATTCTTTGTTATATATATATATATAGACATTTATTTGTTTACAACAAAAGCTTGTTTGACTTTAATTACAAATTATCCAGCAGCCAAAAATATGAATTCAAAAAAAAAAGAAAAAAAAATATGTTAATTTGACATTCAAGAGTTCTTCACATTATTCTTTAACTATTCTTACTTAGGTTTCAAGTTCAAACAAAGTCAACAAATGTCAATTTGCACAAGTATTAATACTTTAACTAGATAAAGATATATAAGAAGATTATCTTGAAGAGAAGAAGAAAGAAGTATCTCTGCAAATTAAAAAATTCATTATATTCACAATAACAGAATAAATGAAATAAAAATGGCGAATTAGTTTTAAATTTGTTGCAGTAATGTTAAATGGGAGTTTATTTCTGCATGTATGATTGTTTAAGTGTGAGTGAGTGAGTGAGTGAAGATGTGTGTGTGTGTGTGTGTGTGTATTTTTATATCAGTGAGTGTGTGTGTGTGTGTGTGTGTGTACAGGTAAGGAAGATGAGAAATGAGTAAAGTGGGAGAGGAAAAGTAAAACGATGAAAAGTTTCATAAAAGAAAGAAATAAGGAAAAAAAGGAAGCTTGCGTGACAAATTCGAATTAAATTATAAAATTATGAGAGCATATTGTGGGCGGACGTCGTATTTATGTAAAGTAGATGATTTGTAAAGAAATTACTTTTTGAGGACGTATTCAGTTATTCTATAGTAAATATAAATAGATTAAGTTATTGGGTGAGATCTCACCTCTTGAAAAAGAAAAACAGATTTACTACCGTCCCATATTTTTATAAAAGTATTATACATTCAAGTAAAATTTCTCCCGTTTTTCTTATCTTTTATAAAGAAAAGTAACATAATAGCCTACATATTCTTTTTTGTGTAATTTTTCTTTCAAATTATCATCTATAAACATATTATGTATACCTTATACTCACTTAAGAAAACATGGTCAAGTAGGCCTCACGGAATGTGGATTGTGTATTACTTTCATTAATACTGTAAAACATATGCTAACTGCAAGCCTTTTCGTTGCTGGAAGCTATAAGGTTATATTCTTAAAATGGATTAAAACTGTTTGTACAAATTAAAATAAAAGCTACCATTTTACAAAATCTGTAAAATGATTCATATGGGAGGTAACTATAGCTATATAAGAACAATGTGTTTCTCATACTCACTGACTACTTGATTACTTTTTAGGAGTTTCTTGTTTTTTTTTATTATTATAAATAAAAAAATATATATGCTCAATATTTTCAGTCAAGAAAGCTCTTTTCTCTCTTATTTTGTAATTAGGCATAAATCTTATAATAGAAAGAATAATAGCAAGCTGAATGAAGCGTTAAAGCGTTGATTACCTAATGCACCAGCGAACCCTATACTTTAGTCAAGATATCTGCTTAATGATAGGCTATTAGATTCTCGTGAGAAATTTATGGAAACTACTTTTTACTAATTATATAATATAAAGTTTATGTTCTAGAAGTAGATATAATGAGCCTTAATAGTCTTATATGTGTACTTGACTAGTTCATAGATTTTATTTTAGTTCTTCTTCTTTTATTAACTATCTATTGTTTTCATATTAAAAAGATAAGTAATATTTTCTCTACCGGAAATTGATAAAATAGAAAGAAAAGGAGATTATATTTTACTTTCCATCTTTTTAAACTATAAATTGTCTTCTCCTATTTCTGTATCCCTATCTCTCCCTCTCTCTCTCTCTCTCTCGCTTTCACATACGCAAACATACATATATACATACATACATAAATGCAATCTCTCTCTTAGTCTCTTCCCATTCCATAATAGCGGCAATTACACAAAGATTGTTTACAATTAATCGTTCTAAAATTTCTTCGAGGAGATATATGATGAAAGAATGGTCAAATGTTGTTAGGATAAGAGGGTATAAGGTCGACGATTTTTGCTACTAAAAACTTGAGTGAAATATTTAAATGGGGTGCGGTTTCCGTGAAAAGAAAGATATTTTCCTCAGAAACAAGATATATTTGCATGTACAATTTATGTTCGAAAGAACCAGATGAATGAATACCTCCACATTCGCTCTATAGTTTGATTGATTATATTTACACTCTAATGCAGATTGTTGGTATTTTCCGAACGAAATTGGCAGCTCAATCGGACTTGTAGAACTTTCACTTGTCAAAAGTACACTACTTTTTGGACATAAAGAAAGAAACACAAGCCTATTATTATAAGATATTTAAGCTAAAACTTAAGTTAAGCTTTCTAGTATTTCAAAAATGAGTGGGAAAAAGTTTGATAAAAGCGATTAGAATCTCTCTAATTCATTGGTAAATATTGAAATTTTTACATCCGCTTCATTATATAATGATTAATAAAATACTTCTAAAATTAGTCACATATATGATAAATGAATCTGTAAGTTAAAATAGATTTTTTTATCAAAACGTTCTCTCTTAATCACGTGATATTCTACAGTTTACTCTGGTTCCCTATTCGGCAGTCTAAACACTGGGGCACCCAGTTCTTTTGCCAAAGATTCTTTATTTTCCGCTATGACTGTTGCATAGGTAAGTATAAACTTTCTCCGCTGATAAGTTTTCTTTATAATAAACTTTTATAACAAGTTTTCTTAAAAACAAAACTTTTTTTCTATTATTTTTTCAACTTTAAAGTTTTTATTTTTGTTTTGTTTCTTTCTAACTTATCTACTATTTCTTTCTTTCTTTCTTTTTCCCCTCCTAATCTCTCTATCTCTTTAAAAAAACTTTAACATTTCAAATGCCTTCCATCCTTTACTATAAAATGTTTTTATAATAAAAAAAAGTTTGCTAAAAGTTACTTAAAAGTTATTTTAAAACAGCTCAATATCAAGTTTGATAGCGGTCCGACAAATACGGAACATTAGAAGAGAGAAGACAAGCTTTAACTGATTTTTTTGCCATAATCTTTCGTAAACCTTCTACAGGATCAAAAATTAACATTTATCAACTTTTAGAGAAAGGAGTGATAGCAGCTTATTTGGAGGTAAGATATAACTAAATATCAATTAATAATCTACTTGAATCATACGTTAGAGAAGGATAATTGCTTCTACTTTTCTACTTTTATCTTTATGTGTGTCGCACTGTTGTTGTACATGTTTTTTTGCCCTCTTTAACTAAAAAATTAAGAAAAGACAATAAGGGCCTTGGATTAATTATTTGATTAATTGCTATACGCTATAAAATAATAACTAATAGGAACGTTTTAATAATAGTGTTAAGCGTCTGTTGCAAATTTTTCAATCAAGCGTTTCGCAAAGGTCTACTGTTATCGGACAGCTGCAAACGTTGGATACTTAGAATTTTTTTTATATGGCCTACGATTTCCTGACTATGTACTACGCCCATCAGACTTTGTAAACCTGTAATAACAAAAGAGTGAGGTGAAATTTGTTTTTAAATCTTACGAAACACTTTTTTCTTCACCTAATGGCATGTTTTTATTTTTTTTCTTTAAGTTTTTATACTTGTTCATTCGAAAATCGTTTTGTATATATAAACTATTTTTTTCCTCTTTAATATTATCTGTTTGTATTCTATCAGAAAAATGTCTAGCCGTCAGCTACTATTCATCTTAATAGCTGTTATTCACCAACATAAAGTGTTCGGTAAGTTTCTATTAATTACTTAATATTCAATTTTTTAATTAACTCTTTATTTATTTCTCTACGGATTATTATTGTTATTATTTATTATAATGTTTCCCTTATCCTATAAACAGTCAACTCATATTCCGATAACTTGCGATACGTGGATGATCTAAGATACATAGAAGCGTAAGTATATAATTGTTTAATTAATTATATAAATATTGATAAATAGTTATAAATAAAATGCAATTGAAAGAAGAAGAAGAAGAAGAAGAAAAAGGGTCATATTAAGTGAAATATTAAAGAAAAAAATGGTACAGAAAATATAAATAAAACCTGTTGACCGTTTGCAACATTTTCAAGACAAAAAAAACTTACACACCTTCAGTATTTATCGAGCTGTTTATTGTTTTAACAGTACAGCTTAACAGCCTATTCTTTATCGAATCCGACAGCTAAGAAAAATATATATATACATATATATATATATATATATATATATATATATATATATATATATATATGTATATATAGATAAAACGACTATTGTACTATTTAGATGTAATTAGTATTAATTACTTAGTTTTTGTTATTTACATAAACATTAATTAATTTTATTCTTTTCCTTCTTATCTTCAACGTTCCACTTAAAAAAGGATAAAGCAAAGTTTGCAAAAATGCAAAGCTCATATTACAATTATTATGGACTCGTCGTCTTCAGTTGTTGATAATCTAGAAAGAGAGAAACAGATAATTATACTTACGTTAAAATACTTGTCGGAAAAATCTACTTTTGGTTTAATAGAATTTGCCAAATATTCCAAAACAGTATGGAATTCCGACAAAAGACTTCACAACGAAAGGATTAGATCTGAAATGGTTCATAAAATTGAAAATATGAGACCTAAACCTTTGAATTGGACTCGTTCAACAAAAATAAATACTGGTTTGAATGTTTATTTACACGAACCTGGTCACTTGGAACGATTACAGAGATTAAAAGAACAAGATAATCTACCAATAATCCTTGTTGTTATAAGCGATGGAGAGTTTAAAGAAAATACATACAATTTAAATTTTGGATTTAGTAAACTACTAGCGGCAAAGAAATCTAATAAAATTGATAAGATCATCTTCTTTAAAGTTGATAAGTGAGTATGATTCGCCTAATTAAATTGTTAGTAAACTAAACTAAATGATTCTTGTAAAAATTCGATTGCATACGTGACTCGATGTGTATTTTTATAAGGTTATGCGAAGGGGGAAAATTGAAAACATATTCTTGACATTCAAAGAGAATCTACGCTCTATCATCCCATTATAGTTAAGCAGTAATCCAAGATCTTTGCAAAAAAATCTTAGATTAAATAAGCAATTCCATTGAAATAACATAAAAAGACCATCTTTTTATTGACTTTTTAAAAGAATTTACTAAGAACTAATACTAATAGCTTCACTATATTATCGTATTTTCTCTATAATACTAATATGACTTGTACCAGTATATACAGTATATACATATACTGTATATATATTAATATATGTATGTATAACGTATACAATCAGTATTCATAGTAGACTAGTATAAAACATTAGAAAATATATTTGTTTACATCATTGTATGTATACGAAATTCTTAGTTTGACCTTTATAAAAATCTAAACATTTTCTAGCCCAAGTATAATTTACACACCTTTTGCTTTATTTTAAACAGTCAAACGTTTGAATCGTGGAGATTTGTTCTTCCTCTAATCGAGGATCATACATCTATTATTATTAATAATAATACACAAAATTTAAATAAGACATTGGTTAATGTTTGGTTCGAAGCTTGTGGAAGACCACCCCCTGTTACTGAACCAACTTGTCCAGCTCATTGTCGGGAACCGTGCGACAAAATATGCCCAAAAAAAACTTGGCTAGAACATTTGGATATATTATTCTGCGTTCCACTCTACGGAACTGATGCAAAGTTGAATAGCTACGAAAGAATTATTACGGATATTCTTGATCATTTTAAAAAGTTCATCCGAAAGAATTCAGTTCATATATCATTACTTCGGCAAGATTGCCATCCTTGGGGATTTACCTTTCATGAGGGTTTTGCCATGCTAGAAGATAAAAAAATTGAACATATTCAAAGAATCCACAGTCAATTTAGAGTAGAAGAAAGTATACATAACGCCAATGATCAAATGGCAAAACACACTTTACAGCAATATTCTCATCCGTAAGTTAAATCATTCTAATTTCAATATATTGTTATACTTGCAATAGTTTTGTTTGTTTTGTTTGTTTTTCAGACCAGAGCATGGCCAAATTTCAGTCATTTTTATATCAAATCCCCAAGCTCTTCGGCAGAATGATTATCAGGTAAAAGTCGATACGAAATTTTTATATAAAAAAATTAGTTAATCTCTTTTACACTTCCAAGAAATTCTAAGAAAAAAATACTTAAAAAGTGAATAATAACTTTTCCAAAGATTAAAACTACGTACATAAACTAAATATAAAGCTTAGGTGTTTACTTCCTTGTCTTCTATCTATCTATCTATCTAAATTTTCCTTTTTTCTTTCTTATTTGCTCTCTTAACTCACTGCTTCTGCTGGTATTATTCTTCTAGTCTTATCCACCAAAAAATATCATAAAGAAAGATTTTCCTGCGAACGTTTATGCCTTTTTAAGGCATGATCGATACCGTTTTACCATTTATCTTTTTTTTATGTCTAAGCCTGTAAAGGTTGGTGGTTATTTTTTTTTCCACTGGCGAAAATATTTATGATTTTCTAAGAAATCCTTCTGCTGGTGATCTATTTAATCTATTACTTTCGTTTCATTGGAAATATATTCTAGTTGATTTATAATATGTACTTAGAAAAAGAAACAAGAGAGATAGAGAGAGATAGAAAGAGAGAAAGATATTCTAGTACGAGTCTAAATTCCAGTTCAATCAAATCAACTTGTTTTTATTTCTTATTTACATGTTTGATACTAAGAAATTTTTATAAAGAATTTTTTATGGGCTAAAACAAAAGAGTTTTAAACATGCTTTTTTCTTTATCCTCCCGACTCTCTCCTCCTATAAGGCGATTCTGAATAGCGACAAACGGACTTTGTTTCTCATTTCCGGAAGATGCTACAACGATCTTTCCGATACAAGCTATTGTAGAAGAGCTAGAGAAAAGACCAATATTATTTTTCTGGATGAGTTTAATTCTCCTTATGCAGGTTCGTTTAATAACTTCAGAGAAAGAGATATAAAGCTAATTTTTCTAAATAATTATAGAATATATATGTGATTTTATTGGATCTGTTGAACAATATTCGAGAGAGAGCCAAAGAAGGACCAGAGCCTCTGCAGTTCTGTCAAACGGAAATGGAGCAATTAGTACGTGCATGTTCTACGTTTTAAACATTATAACTCTTTCAATGGTATATGCAATTTTATAAAGAAACAAAGATTAAAACTCAATTAGCTTAGTGGAGAATTCATAAATGAGTGCAGTTGCGTTTTCCTTTTAAGAGTTAAAGTATGAATAATCGTTAAAGATATTACTAATTTTAATTTAAAAGATGAAATATTATTGATGAAAGTACTAATTAACATTTAATGCAAAATATTTAACTGTATTTTATATGCAGTGTATATATATATATATATATATATATATATATATATATATATATAAATTTATATATATATATACAAACATTTAAGAAAGATATAAGCCTTAATGCATGTATGGATATTTTATAAAAATATTAAAAAAATAAACTTCTAAACAAGATATTTGAATTATTTTTTGTTTTTCTTCCTTACTACTTACCATTTCAGGGGCGGGGTAAATAAAAAAGGAATTTTAATTAGGCCTATTTTTTTCACAAAAGGAAAAAAATTTAGCACTTCTGCAATAGTCATCAGTTGGATAATATTACAAAAAAAAAGAAAGTTTTTAGTTGAATTTATCCATTCCAAGGGAAGAATCTTAACTATTTTATAAACAGGAAGTTGGACTTTTTTTTCAACTTTTACACTTTAGGAAAGTTCATTGAACCAATTCTATTTTATAAAAAGCTTTTTATAGAAATGCCTGTTATTTTTTCTTATATAGTAAATAGATAATGGAATGCTAAATACATCCTTAGGTTACTTTATAGTTTTTCAAATATTACTTTTTATTCTGTTGCCTTCGAAGAGAGGGAGAAAGAGAGAGAGAGAAGGAGGGAGGAAAAAAAAAAGAGAGAGAGAGAGAGAGAGAGAGAAACTACTAACACTACTACTATCACTCTTTCAGTATGATTAAAGTTTTATAAATTACATAAGTGACTCTTCGAGATGTTTTTCTCCTGGTAAACAATTGGTAATACAAATCATCCAATCATTAATAATCATTGTACAATGTTTCCAAAATAAAACACATACATTGCTATTGATATGATTATTATGTACACAAATCTTGAATTTGTTAAGTGAATACTTTAAGTTTAAAAATAGAAAAGAACTGACTGCAAATATACTGTATAATCATGTAAAATTTTCTAATTTATCTGTCTGCTGACAAGCTTTATACAAATCAAATTATATACAGCAATCTTTCATTCATCGCTTCGTATGAATAATATCATTGCGTAATAAAAAAAAGTATTTACTCTGGCATTTTCACTTAGCGTAAAACGAGAATTTATGTTGCAAATTCTTCAAGTAACTTTGTTATCGATGTAACGATTAATTGTTGTACTTTGAAACATAATCATTACCGAAAACCGGTCGGCTAAACCCAACTATTCGACCGCTCAGCTAGATTTTCCATTATTTCCTATAGTTTAGCAAAAACCACTGATAAGGTCGATGCTCTAACAGATATGAAATAAGGTTGACTAGGCTGAACCTTTGAAGAATTTAAATGGTAGTACTTTTTGCCAATAGGAATATAACCTCTTAGCAATAAATTCTTGTTAATCTTAAAGTTAGTTTGGGATTGGTATGCAGATGGCGTTGCTTGTCAACCTAATACTAGGGAAAGTATTACAGTATTACGCATTGTTATTTTTTTAGTTTCTATTGGATGTAAATTTCTAAATTAAAACATTAAAAAATTCTTTGTAATTTCTATTTTTAGGTAATTTTTAACAGAAAATGCATATTTAAAGGCGTCTAATTGGAAACGCCTTTAAAAATTATATAAAAACTCTATTATTATTAAATTCAATTCAGAGAAACGATCATAATAAGATGATAAATAATTAATATACATAGTTGCAAATACAAAAGTAAATCTAATATGGGATACATACACTTAACACTTTAAAATTGTTTATTAAGATGTAAAGATTGCTATCTAAATAAATAATAAGATGATTAACAAACAGTTTAAAATGTTAAGGGATAGAAGACCTAGAATAGAAGCAAACATATATTTCAATTTTCAAACTGATTCACTTTCAAAGTATTCTTCTATTTTAATAAAAAAAATATATAACTACAGTATGACATTGTTTATTGTTTGTTTACTTTTGCTACATCTTTTTACTGCTTAGAGAATGGAAATGTTACCTAGGCAAGTTATTTTTAAAGACAATTCTTCTTTTGACTAAAAGTTTACATAGGTAACTTGTTGGAATATAGCAAAGTGTAGAAAATAGATTATATAACATACAAAATATTTGTATGTTTCTAATATATCATAGGTATTGGTTAAAATATCAAATAAGTATTCAGTCTAGGCACCTCGACAACGTAAACTCGACTATTTTCCTAATCAAAAGACATATTATCACTAATAGCTTGACTAATGTGTAATTACTAATGATCTACATTCCTATTACCTCCTCTTTCGTATCTTCATTCTTAAAATTCAGATTTTGTTTACTCTTTTTTATCTTCTGCTTCTCTCTCTCTCTCTCTCTCTATTTACCTCGTCTCTTTTCGAGATAAACGACTATACAATCAGATTATGATAAAATTAAAAAGAAATATTGTTATTAACTATAAGCCATCGAGTTGGACAACTTCCTGTGGTAAAAGAGAAATGGCCATTTGTTAGCTAATACTGTATATAGTATGTATATATTTTATTCAAAAAGTTACTAACAAGTCAATCTTCTCTTTTATTGAAAAGAATAAAAGACATATCTGACAATTTTCAAAGTAGAGAAGATGACTTATTCGAGACATATTTCTTAAATTTTAAATGAATGGAAAGGCTCGTAACCATTGAAAAATTTATCAGAAGTTGATAAGAAAGCATCTCATTTATGTAATACTTAAAATAGTTTAAAGAAGAACTCTTTCTCTCTTTCTTCCTTATTCCACGTAAAAGAACATAGTATGAACCTAAAATACTGCATTTCAAAGACAATCTTTTGAAAATTAGATTATTACTAATTTTCCATTATATTATCATTCTTTACCAGTAGAAATACATCTCTCTATATACAAAAATTTACTGTAAGCCTATGAAATATAGAAAACAATTATTTTTCTAAAGAAAAATGTGTTAACGTAGCAGAATAAAAAAAAATGTACCGTGTTTCAGCCTAAAATTTTCGTATTCTTTCATTCATAACTGTAAAAATAGTACTCCTTTGAAAATAATAGATTAAGTATGAATATGTAAGTCTTTGAGTGTGTACTATGTTTCTCTCTTTTCTATGTTTCTTCTCTCTCTCTTTCTCGTCCGCTTGTATCTGTTTATCCATCTCTCTCATTGTTTATCGTTACTCTTTCTCTTATTCTTGTTATCGATTGGTTTATCTATTAAAAGATAGTTTAGTCTATTTATATATTTAGTAACACCGCTTATTGTCATTTTATTCTTTAACTGATTTTATTATTTTTACGCGTCGCTAAATAAATATGAAAAATATGGAATGGTACTCATCAATTACAATCAATTTCTATAATTTAAGCCTATTCAGAAAATTTGTACCTCTTTTATAGAAGAGAATGATAGAATTATTATCCAGTATTATTTTAAGAAAAGAAGAGAGAGAGAGAAAGAGAGGGATAAATCAATAAAGAAATAAATATGATGCAAAGAGTTTGTACTTGCTAGTATATTTTAATTTTTAGTTAATCTCAAAAAAAGAAAGAAAAGAAGAGACAAAGATATTTTTTATTCGTATCTTATTTGTTTTGTAAACAGCATGCGCATACTCTTCCAATTTCCTAAGATTCTATTTTATTGTATTCTATTCCTATTTTAACATTTCCATCATGTCACTACTATAATTCCCAAAAGTCTCCAGTTGCCGATTCAATTTCCGATTTTGTAAAATGTTTTACTCCATATTTGATTTCTAGTAAGGTTAGAGTGGTAGAATAATAAGGGAGAAGAGTAATAGGATGAAAAAAAAGGAAAAGGAGTAGTGGAGTGAAAAAACGATTGTATTATTTATATTTATTAATTATATTTGGAGAAAATGTTGATTTTATTAAGAATTAGTCATGGAATAATGAAAGAAATGTATCAATTAAGAGTTTTAGCAGATATATTATAATATACAGTCTCCTTTACTATTGCAAGAATACGAAACAAACATTAAATTAATGTATATATATATATTGATACAATTAAACATTGAGGCTTTTATTAGACAGTTCATTTTTTAAGTGTGATATGGCTAATTAGTTGTACAGATAATTTCGTCTGTTCCTTTATTCTTAGGTTCGGTATTGTTCTCATTTCTCTTATGATTGTAATGAAACCACAAATCGCTTAGATCTATATGTGTATCTGCCTTTTAAGTGGTTTCTAAGGAATTTTGAAACCAAGTTTATGTCTATGTTTGAAAGAATTCATTAAAATTCGTTATTTATTGATTAATAAATCAGATACGTTGTTTCGTAATAGGAACTTTTTTCACAATTTCCCTTGTGCTTTTCTCATTATAGCCGTTGTTAAAATTTTCCTTATTATTATTATTTATCGTATCTGCTATGTTTACATTATTTACCAATCTTCTTTCAATCTCTAATCGTCTTTCTATTTCTCTCTACCTTTTTCAATATTCGCACAATTTTATAATATATATTTAAATAACTCATTAACAAAAGAGAAATAGGGCAACGGTGAACAAAAATAACCTTTTTCCCATGTATTTTATATATCCCTTGGTATTTAGAATTTCTTTCAAATTCTACTATCTCTTCCACAACTGAACTAGCACTACTCTTCCAGTAGAGTTCATTCGATAATAATATTTCTGAATTGGGAATGAGATAATCTTTAGAATGATAAATACATTCTATACAAAAAGAGCAATTACAAAAATTGTATTTTAATTCTTTATGGTAATTGCAACCTTTATCCGTTATAACTTATTAAAATTTCATCTAAAGTTATATAGTTCCTATTTCTTCAAACTAATTAATACGAATTTACTTATTACCTATTCAATTTGATCACCTGAACCAATAGTTGACCCATTTTATAGAATGAGCATAGCTTTCCGTTAATAAGCTTAGCTGAAAAGAAATCTTATCGTCTTGCACATTTTTTCACTGTAATCTTCGTTATTTTCTTCATTTGAATGAATATATGAAAATTAATTGGTTAAACTATTGAAATGAATAACGAACAGAGATATCTATTTATATATACAAAATGTTTATGAAAAATGTTCTCTTTTTCGTAATTTATAATAACTTAAACATGAAAAAAACATTGAAAATCTTGAAATTATTTTCATAACTAGTTTGAAAAGCATCTTTGACGGGACGGTGTACAAACTGCACCTTGAATAATTAATGTCTATATATATATATATATATATATGTCTCATTTATATGCAGTATATGTAATATATGCATGTATATTTTAATGTATACACAGTAACTGTGCATTACATATACTATATATACAATATATATATAGTTTTAAATATGCTGTATATATAAAGCTATACTTTCTAATGAATTGATCACATTAAATTGTCATTTTGTGCAGAAGTTGAAATATATAAATATTCGTTATTATCAATGTTTTCATAGTAGATATGAGACAAGATGAAATTTCTTAATCGACCTCTCCAATTGGGGTATTCATATCGGTTATTTTATTAGAAACCCCCGATATTTTCCCTCCAATGCAAGTAGATTAATTCTTATCAACTTCTATTATATCATTTTCCTTTTAAAGCTTCAAAATTTCATCAATACTCTCTTTATAAGAAAAACTGATAATATAAAATTTGTAGCTACTGCCATCTACCGCTTAAATTTTGAAATTGCAATTAGTCGGTATTGTTAATTTTTCTCCATATGTATAGCTATTCTTTTTTAATCTATCAGCATCTGATTTCTCGTAAACATTTAATCCTCCATCGTCTGGAGCAGCAGTTTCAAAGATATGTATGTCATCAGCAGTTTTTACTACAGCTGTCAGAGGACGTACAGTTGAAAAGTCATACAGTACTTCTGGTTGAGCGTTCCTGGCTGCAACACTTCTGATAGGTCGTCCTCTTGCGTAAACAGTTTCTGCCCGATTTCTAAATGTGTCCAAAGTATTTTGATGACGAAAAAAGTCAGATTTAGGGCTTTGTTCATAAGAGGAAGCAATAGAGCAAGGAGAAGACTGCCCAGTTAATAATTTTATGTTATTTAACTCTTTATAAACTTCATTATGGGAGACTTTTAACGTTATTGAATTTGGAGTTTCTTCACCTGAGTGTCTTTTGTTTAGTAGACGCCTAAAGAGAAAAAAACAAAAAAAAAACAGATTAAAATAGTCTCTTTAGTTAAATTGGATAAATTAGGCTAACAGTTCGTTTATCTCTTCTCCTTTTTTCTCTCTCTCTCTCTCTCTTCCTCTCTCTCACTCTCTCTCACTCTCTCTCACTCTCTTTCACTCTCTTTCTCCCTATCTATTTATCTTTATCTAGCTATCTCTCTTTCTCTCTTTCTTTCTTTGTTTCTTTAGTTTTTACTTCTCCTGTTACGCTTATTCTGTATTTCTGTCTTTCTTTTTATTGTAATATTTAGCCAAGCAAAGTTATTTAGAAATATAAACATAGAATGTGCACCTAACCGACTTTTGTCTAGTTCTATTCGTTTTCCTAATAAATGCTACAGATTTCGTCGAATAGATCAATCATTCATTAGTATTGTCTAAATAGGGCAAGTTGTACTGCCTAATGGACAAGTCCTGATTCATTTGGCCTAACAATGATCCCTATACATAGTTGACGGTAAGTTTTCCGAGTGTTTTGTTAGTACTGGTTATTTTTCTATCTGAAAAAGAATTTCGTTCCTATTGCTCTTGGTTATCAACTGCATCATCAATGTCATTGTCATAGTTTAAAAGAGAGGGATAAAACCTCAAGTTGTACTTAGCTCTATGTTCACCTCTAGTGGTATTATCTTTAACCATTAAAAAATTATCTTTCAAGACTACTTATTATACCACGCCTTCCTCAAGGCGCTATATTTAGTACCAGTCGACTTAACACCATATTATATTTAGACAGACTAGCGAAGCATTTCCTAATTGAGAGAATATACATTAATTTGTTTTTTTCATAATCTTACGTTATGCCTAGTAATATGGTTGATTTTCGTTTTTGTAAATGGACCAACTGATAGGACGGATACTATGAGAAGTATTTTGTAAATTAATTATAGAGTTCACATATTCGTTTTATATAGTTTGCTATAATGAAAAAAACTTGAGGAAAGCAACATACGTTCGTAGACAAAAGAGCACGACCACTGGTAGAACGAAGGCAATGAGAATACCAATGCCAACGGCGATATAAAGTGCGGCTCCGTTCCATAAACCGGAAGTGACGCCTACATTGAACGCCACGCAATTCGGAACTTCTCCTAACCAGCTGTTATTTACACACTGCAAATTCCAAGTGCGTTCGGAGGTGAAGTTGCATTTAAGACGGACGACCGAGGAAGACGAATAGGAAATGAATACGTTCTTTCCCGGTTGGTAAATTTTACACCCGATAACTGAAAAGATTATAAAAATACTGTCTTTCTTATAAAAAATAAAAACTAAAGGCTTTTAACAAATACTTTATCATTAGTCTATAAAAAATTTTAACCTTATTAATTTTATTACATCATTACTTGCAAAATACAGTCTAAAGCATTCTCCAAATATTTATTGACATATAGTTTTATGTCTACAAGGTAAAGATGACATTTTCTAGTTACCTACTGGTAGCTGGATCTATGGCTGTCTCTCTTATATATTTAAAACATCAGAAATATCAGGGCAGTCTATTTCATGTACACTGAGAGTGCTCTACGTTTTATTCAGAGTGCCCTTATATTATTTTTACATTCATATATGCTATATATGCACATATAAATTTATAGCTTATATATATATAGATGCGTGAGCAGAGAAACAACAAAGGCAAAAAAAAGATAGAGTTTATGCACCAAAATCAAAAATCTATTGAAATTTATTGTAAAAAGAATATGAAGAGGTAATATATATATACTGTATATATACTGTATATATGTCTATATATACTGTATATATAGATATATATATCTTTAAAAACCACATAATTCCTTCCACTCTTGTAAATTGAAAAGACATTTTTAATATAAAAGTACAGTATATAGATATACTGTATAATAGAAAGATAAGCATAATTTCTACCTTTTTATTAACAACTTTTAAATAACGTATATGAAGTGTAAATTGTAGATGTCTAAATACAGGTTTACATGTTATAAACTCTACATTGTTTATATTCTTTTAAATAATAAAAAAAACGAGCGTTAAACCGATCGTGCATTGATTGACTACTATTCAATTTGTTTATGAATTGGAAAAAAAAAAAGATAAATGACGAATGATACAGCTCAATTAAAATAATAACAAAGGAATACAATCTTATTCTTCTTCTCCTAATAATTCTATTCCTTAGTTTTGGAATTGTAAACATTGTAAAATATTGAATTCATCCTATCTCTCTCTCTGTTTTTCTATTCCGTTAAGAAAGTTAATCGTTTTTTCGTAAATTTTTATTTTGGAAGAATGCATAAATTGGAGTCAAACAAACCTGGATCGTCATGTCCTATATGCATTAATCAAACAACCTAGGCCTATACTGATTAGTTTTGTGAATGGTAATAGTACGTTGATATTTAGAAATAGAAATCTCTTTATTTACGAGAGGTTCAATTGTTTTAATCATATTTTACATTGCAGAAATAAGATGTAATGAAATCATTTCCCATTCTTTATTAAATTTACGCTTAATGTATTCGTTAAGGTGATGACTCTTGGCTATAATTCTTTTCTTGAATAGCCTTTAGGATAATGCAAAAAAATGCTTACCTTCATAATGTAGTAGAAAGTTGGATGAGTTTGGAGAGTAGTGAAAGGTGACCCTAACCTCGTGACCTTTGCTTAGTGAGGGCTCGTTAGCGTGACATACGTTTGATAGGTTCCTCTTTGATTCAATATCAGCAATAGTCATGAAAGCGCAGTTATGTTGGCTTAAGCCAGTTGAATAGTCAATCAAAGTGAACTTCCAGCGTTGCCCGATTCCTGCCCGAAAGAGCCATGTGATGGTGCAGCGTCTTATCTTTGGGCTTAAGTATCCTGAGTTAGCGCTAATTACGTTCTGTGCCCTTTCGCAGTTACCTTTATACAAAACACAAAAAAATATGTAAAATTTGAATAATTAAATAAAAAATCTATAGAACATAAACAATGAATAAGGTGATTAATCATTTTGCAGCTAAAACTGATTAAAAAAATACTGTTCATTTGTTATTCATACGGAAAAAACAATCGTACGCTTCATACACAATACAACTAGTATCGTAAGCAAAGACTTTACATATGGAATTCTATTTAATGTTATGTACATTGAACAGATATTGTATATTCAGTATATACAGTATATACTGTATATATATAGATATATACTGTATATACGCAATACACATAAAAGGCTGTTTATACACACTTCATATAATCACTTAACAGTTTCTTTTTCTTTTGATATTACCGTGAAATAATATCAAATGCAGTGGAAAGATAGATATAAATGCAGCGTTTGATATCACTTGAACTTTGGTAAGAGTCAGTGATTTATGCAATAATATCAAATTTAACTGTAATACGCAATGTCTTTATGAATCTATATTCGTATATATTATCGTTAGGAAAGAAATGAGAATATGTCAGCTTTATATTACTCTTCATTAGTCTATAACTGAGAATATTCAATTAATTATCCGCACGGAAGACGGATAGTCTATTTCCTGCCTTGTATCTGTGATACGCTATTGAATTGAGACCGTACCGATTAATGATCAATTATTTCTTACATTTTAGATATCTTTGTAATGTATACGACAAGATAGGAAACTTATAGAACTGAAATGATGCAAGAAAACTATACCTTTAACTTCGACTGGTACACATGAATAGTAGGAGAAAAGGGTTTTCATAAAAGGGGCCGCCCTCCGACAAGCCTCCTTATTTCTACTTTCGAACAAGCTAAAACTCTTCGATATGTTCTCATCCGGAATAGTCAAAGAGCAACTTGGAAGAGCCGAGCATTTTCTTGACAGGTACATCGTAATATCAACAGCGCATTGGGGTATTGAAATTACTGAATCATCAAAACAGTTACTATCTCTAAAAGTACCAAAAAAGGCGCTGGATATTCTCAACACTTCGTTTGGTAGGCACGAAATATTAATTGATTCCAGAGATTTACAAGTGAACGCTTTACCTGAAAGAAATAAAAAGAAAAAAGCCTTTAAGTTCATTTTACTAAAGATGTCAGTACATAGAAATATATTATACTTTTACTCTTTTACAGAATATAATTGATATTTGAAAACACAAAAAAGTGTAAATATAGAATGTTTTTGCAATTTTTGCTCTTGTTAAAAGTGATCATATGATAAAAAATAGCTTTTACTCTTTTTCAATTGTATAAAAGTAAATTACGTCACAAAGGTCAGACGAAAGAGAGAGAAAGAGAGAGAGAGAGAGAGAGAGAGGAAGGGAGAGAAGGATTTAATTACAAAAAAAGAAAAGAAATGATAATAAATAACGAAGAATTGTAGGGTTTATTAAGTGATGAAAAAATTGCAATTAATGCCCAGTCTAATTACAAGTACAGATAGTTTTTAGTTTGCAAGAAGATTAGTAAATGATGTTTTCTTTTATAAATATATCTTTATAGTAAATTCTTAAAACAAGGTAAGGAAAAGGCTTTTCTTTTCTACCTAATTAGCCTTCAAATACCATCTATTCGCACATCCTGAAAGCTGTTATACATATATATATATATATATATATATATATGAACAAGAATACATAGTTGTAAAATCGTAGGTATGATCGATAATGTAGCTTACTTCAAAGGATAATCCAAAGGAAAGCCTATTTATAGATTACAGTTATACATATATAACTTCAGATAGATCAAATTTTGATATTAATTTACGGAATATATTTTTAGAAGAATACATGCTTTCTATTCGTTTTATCTGGTTAAAAAATGTCATCACCAATAGCCAAATGGAATTTATAATGATTTTATTATACATTCCACCAGTATAGATATTTTTTTTCATACTACACCCTTACATCATAATGTGAAGTAATCAAAGTAACATTTTTTTTATGCTCTATCTCTCTTTTAATTTAAGTCATTTTTTATTTCGAATCGAAGATTAGAACTATGCTAGAAAAGAGACTTTTATTATAATGAGCACTGATTTATCTTATGACAAGTGTGTATCTTTAATTTTCATTAGCATGAATAGGATAAGTAGATTTATGAAATCTAGCGCAAGATAGAAGAATTTACTCTATTTTTTCTAATATTTAACGCGTCTTTAATATAACTTTATAATCTCTAGTAAATTGGCTACTTTCACTTTCCGATTACCAGCAATTTCTAGCTATCTTTTTCTTAATAAGTAACCTTAAAATGGTTACAACTATACATCTATTAAAGCTAAACGTACACTATATACTGGTTTTAGTTAGAATATATATTTTAACCTTATTTAAATATTCATACAATATAAATATGAATATTCATGGAAAATAATTATTCAATATTTAAACAAGCCAATATCTTTTAATTTCCAATAATTTGTTCATAGTTCCATTGTATTTCTAATGAAAATTTCACTTAATTTTTCATATTTATTATTTAGACGAATCGATTTCATTACAAGATGTCAATCTATTAAAAAGGAAAAGTGTAGCTATCTATATTTCTTTTGAATCATTTATAATGTCACTTATTAAAAAAAACCTTAGTAAAACTAAACAAGAAGAATCTTTATATTAAAACAAGGGGGAATGTGTACAGTATATACTTTAGAAATAGCTGTTTTATTGGCTATATATGGCATAGTACAAGTATAAGAAACATTTACAAACAGAATGCTTAATTAGTTATAGATTTTACATGATTTCTTTATCCCTTATCAATACAATAGTATATTATAATATGTTTTGCTCTCTTTTCCTCTTAATTAGAAATACACAAAGATTAATAATCTTTTTCTATTTAAGAGTCTTAATACACTTATATTTAGGGAGAGAGAGAGAGAGAGAAGAAAGAGGAAATATTAACGCTAATCTTACAAAAAACGTATTAATTATTATAGTATTAAAAACCTATATTTCACATATGAACCATTATTTTTATACACATCAAGAATTATGTTATTAACATATCTACTAAATTAGAAAAGAACAAAAAACACGAGATTACTTTTATTAAACAATATATACGTTATATTGGTTTTCATATAGGCTATTTACATTAAAGAGGGCTCTCCCATGTACAAAACACTTCTTTATCTTAGGCTCTTCGTATTTTTTCACTCTTTTCTCTTTCTCTATCTCTAAATCCTTACCCCCCTATCAAACAAACCGTTGTTTGCACGCGCACCACAAAATAATCAATTTATCATTGATTATAAAATAAGATGTGTAATAGCGTACTAGACGTATCATATTTCTTTAAAAGGCAATACGTAAGATAAATTCTTCGTATATCCATTACTACTTAAATTATGTTTCCACTAATTATATGAATAATCAATATATTCAATTCATAATCATAGTGGCATTTAAAAACTTTTGCGACAAAGTTTTTAAAGAAACGAGGCATTAATTGAAAAATATCGGAAAAAAACTTGAACAATTCAATATATGAGTTTCAAGGAATATCAAACAAATAGGAAAATTAGACATTTCCTAATTCTATTGCTCCATCATTATCATGATTAATAATATTAAATGTTAATTTTTGATATACATATTGTTATTGCGTGTTGTCTTTTGTACCGTATGCCTTATTTTATGATGGAATATTTATAAATCAATAATTTTTAATTTCTTTTTCTTTCTCCTTTTTTCTCTTGCTTTCTTTCTTTCTTTCTCTTGCTTTCACTTTCTTTCTCTCTTTTTTTTCTTTTTCTCTATCTCTCTCTTTCTCTCTCTTTCTCTCCTTATCCTCTCCCTCCCCTTTGAATTGCAAACTAGAATGTTTAATATTTTTTAAACGTTTTGCACAAAGGAAATAGAAGATGCTGGAGATACATCAGAGACAACGACTATGAGAGAAAGATGTGTGGTAATTGTATGTGTGTGTGTGTGTGTGTGTGTAGGAGAGAGAAAGAGAAAGAGAGAGAGAATAAACGATTGAAAACGAAGAGAAAAGTCGATTTTTTGAACAAAGAGATTTAAGAAACGCTTTTGAAAGAAGGTTATTCATTTATTTTCTTTTCGTACTATTCTATTTTTGGTTATTTACCGTTTTTAAACTTGGAATAAAATGCTAAGAGAAGATAGAGTATAAATAAAATTGTGCGAATGTTACTTAATTAATGATATTCAATCGTATAATGCCTTAAAGGGTTAAATGAATGAGTTGTATATATTTCTCATTTGGAGTAAGTAAATATGAAAAGTGTAGCTAGAAAATGTTAATTATATATAATAAAACATATAAAGGATATTTATGGAAAAGTTTTTATGCGAAGAGCTGTCTGACCTTATATAGTCAATAAAAATATCTGTTTTTTATATTGCATTTCTTTTATTACGTACTAAGCCGGCTTTTCAAAGCAATTCGGTATTGACTCATATTACATACTAATGCATTTAGTACTAATATTACTTTTTAAAGAGTTTTTACATACGCATCTAATCCGATTAGTCTGTCATTTTTCGAGTTTACTAACCAGTCTGTTCTTTGCGGGTATAATACTTAAAGTATGGATAATTATAGTTTTAAATAGAGAAAAAGTAAAATTAGAAAGGGAAGGAAGGAAGAAAAAAAAGAGAGGAAATAATAAAACAAAGGGCTCAAAAAGAATATTTTGATTATTGCGTTATTTGTAATTATCTTAAACTAATATAATAGTATATGATAATAAATAACCAGTAAGTTACATAACAGTACAGTTATATGTTAGTAGATATTTCAAAAAGTTTTCCACCTTTGGGTATCTATAAAGGACATTAAGTATAATTTCATTTCTAACGATTTTTAGAGACGAAAATCTAAAAGATAAAAATAAGTTACTAAATTTTTTATATTATGCAGATATGACTCTCTTTCTCTCTCTTTCTCTCCCTCTATCTCTCTTTCTCTATAATAATATATAATGAATAATAAAAAGGAAAAAAAAACAAAGAAAAAGTAACTTTTTTGACTTGTATACACCTTCCTTTTTCTAATAATACGGTCAACTGAATAACAATTATAGAGATACAGGTCTTCCTATTTTTTACATCTCATTCTATCTTAACAAAATATTTTTGATAGGAACCGCTTAATTTACTAGACGCCGCGGAAACTCTTCCTTTACAGTAGTGCTTTCATTTATAGGACTTCGACACTTTTTTTGTCTGCGTGACGACTTTTTAACAAAGCGTTGGCTTTTGTCACCATACTTTGTGAATAAGAATATCGAACGAGAAAAATATCATTATTAACAATGTGTTCTCTCTGTTTTTTCTCTCTATCTCTCTGTTTTTAAACAGTTGTTGAGCTATAATCCTTTTTATCACCCCTTTCTGTATTGGGAATGACAAAAAGGTGAAAATGTAATAAAACTTTTACAAGGTCTAATAGCTGTAAATTAGGATTAAAGTATATTGGAGAAACCTTACGCTATTCTACTGAAAATTTAAATATTTAATAGTGCATTTGTCATAAATATTTACGAAAAGTGAACTATTATTGTACAAAAAAACATTGATAAATTTGATTAGATCAGCCTCGTCTAGTACTCAATAAAAGGTTAATTAGACTGAAATGATAGCAGTAAAAGAGTTAAGTTTTCTTACCGCCAAACCTTTCACCAATTAACGATGTAACACTTTCGGTTCCGATAATAGAGAAGAGAAGAAGAACAAAATTGAACGCCATAGGCGGCTTTTGGCGCTTAACTGCAACAGGCGACACTACAGAGGCGTCACCTACATCAAATTCGTCTTGTTCAGCGTCACTCACTATCAATAGAATCTTCTTCCAGTATGAAATACTACTTCTTGTACTATTAGATACAAAAAAATTATGAATATCTTAAGCTATTTAAATGCGTTGAAACGTCGACATATGTAAATGAGAGAATATGCATTCTTATTCTTTGACCCTACACATACTTTTGTGTAATGCGTCACTAGTCGCGTGCGTTAAGCTAACATTGAATATATATATATATATATATCTTCTTCTATATCAAGAAGAAAGGATAGGATGACAAAGAAAAGAAAACTATTATAAACAATGATTGTTTCTCCTTGAATTTATTAATATTTATAAAATAATTAAAAAGTTGTTTCAATTGCTTCCAACAACTCAATGACGTCTAAAACAAAAGTGAAATGAAATGAAGCGTTTATTACATCTGACGTTTTTTATCATTCTCTAAGCAACTAAGAGCTAGTTTTATGCTATAAAGTAATAAATGTAATATTTTCGAATGTATTGTATATATTTATATACATAAGCGTATCAGATATTAAAGTTGGACAGATCAAAAGCGTTTTTAACAGTTTAGCTAAAAATAAATTATATAGTTGGAATAAAAAACAGTAAAAGAAAAAAATCTACATCACTCCTTCTCTAAAAGAGTGTCTAACGAGCGTCGAATGGTAAAGTATGAGGGCAAAGCATTAGACGGGCGACAAAGTGGCCTTTTCACCGCCTGTCCGAGTCAATTTTGTGAAAAAAAGTGGCGTCGTCGATTAGAAGGACTGCTTTACTTTGCAAAAACGGCCTCATCGAACGTTCTAACTGACAAAGAGTTTGTTGGGCACGCAAAGTAGCCGAGTATTCTATTCGAAAATTGCGTGATACCTATTGTTTGGATGTTGATTATAATACCTTTGATAATTAAACTACTTCTCGTTTTTATTTTTCAGCAGGTTTGCACTGCTTGTCTCATTGTCTAATTTACTGTAGAATTTACCGAGAGCTCTCAACATATTTTTAAATGTTCAATACCTTTTAGACCACGTTTAAAAAACACAGAAATCCCGGAAGCATTATAGGGGATATGTACTACATATCAGTTTTTGTTTATACGGTAAATAAAGTGAATAAATACAACGAGAAAGAAAGAAAGAAAGAAAGAAAGAGAGAGAGAGAGTGAAAGAGAAGTAAAAAATAGCAAAAATCTAGAAAGCAGAAGCAGTTAGACTATCTATATCTTTATATAATATATACTGTCTTTATATATTGAAAGAAGGAACGTTATTCTTTTTATATACTCTATCAGATAAAAAAACAAACATGCTTCATTTTTTTGTAAGTTTATTTATTTTCATATTCGTCTTTGCTTAATGTTACTAAATTGTTAAAGATAGACGGTAATCGATGAAAATCATTCTTGCACTTGTAAATATAATTCTGTACCTGTAAACCTATACGTAATTGATGTTTTGCTGGAACGTACGGAAATACCACAGCTATTCGTTCTCGTTCCTGATTATCTCTAAAATCCGCTATGATTGTTTTTATCCAACTGGACGAGTCAATAACAAATTGTTATTTAGAGTTATGTCATGAAAACGGGGGTTTAATCTACTAATACTTCAAGTATAGATTCCTTTCTAGTCTCTTGTGACGTCATAAAAACTCTTCTAAAAAGCTTGGTGTAACCTTCCAGGCTAAAAGATAAAGTAGGGATGATGAGTAACGCAAAAAAAAGAACTGGACTAAAGTATAAAAACAAGAAACTGTTTTACCATATTTGCTATGATTTTGAAAGACTTATCTACAAATGTAGACTGAAATGTTTTGGACAGAGCGTTGTTTGGTAAAAAGAAGAAAAAATGGTGTTTATATAAAAAAGGTAAGTATGATGTAAAGTTGACTATTTTATATAATTAAATGTAATAGAACATTCCAGACAATGGAAAAACGAAATAGAAGACTATAAAATTCTTAACTGACATAGAATACATAAATAAATGATTGATCAATATTAGCTTAATAGATTAGGGAAAGATTAACTTCAACTATTTTCCAAGTTAAGTGTTGTTAGCTTTCAACCTTTGAACTATTTTCAAGTTAACATTTAACTGCAATTTTTTTATATAATTTATTATATTAAAAGAGAATTGTCTCCATTATTAAGTTTACCTTCGATAAACTGATGACGAAGGAGAATGGGTGAGAAATGAGAAAGAGAAGGAGAGAGAGAAAGAGAGTAGAGACTAAATATTATAAACTACAAAAAAATGTGAAAAATGAAAGGTCCAACAGACAAGAAATTTAATTCAGGTTTATCAAAGGACTAAAAGTCAATAATTAATAATTTTATATTTGATTATAAATCCCTATATAAGTGCTTCTAAGTATTTGATACTGAATGATTCCATTCTTATATGTTAGCAGAAAATTCATATGAATATTAAGCATAAAATTTGCCCATGGTAATGATTAAAAAAGCAGTAATGGAGTATGGAAATAGGAATGCTTTTACATTAGAGAATGTACTTATATTATTTAATTTCTGTTTGACAAAAACGATTTATCTTAAAGAAAAGAATGAAAAATAAATTTATTTCTCATCGAGGTTAGAATATAAAACTAAATGCAAAACAATTTCATTTAGACTACCTTAAATTATTTCGAACCACCAAATTTAGTCTATTCTTATTTATTGTAATTTATAACACTCATTTTTATGTTTGATCTTGATTTATACAAGAAAAAAATCAATATAAAGTTTAATTTGATCCCATTCTGTACCTGAGATATTCTTAACACTCAACAATATAGAGATATACTAATCAAGTACTTTTGACTTCTACTTTCTCATCGATTCTATACAAATATTTCACTGTTGTGTACATTTTATATCAGACTATTAAAATAAGAATTCGTTAAAGCTCAGTTTCCTCATCATATTGTAGGTTAATTTATTTTGAGAACGCAAAGTTAATTTTCCCTTTAACGAAGGTAAATAATGGAAAAAAAGATAGATAGAAAGAAAATGGGGAGAAAGAAGAGTACAGTACTAAGCAGGGAATAATAATATGGAAAAAGAAGGGGAAACTCTTATAATTTTCTTGCCCTAAGGTAAATTAATTTATAATAAAGACAATAACAATCCTGAATAAAATTTTAAAGTAAATATGCCATATCAAAAGAAATACATTATTTATAACTTTCTTAAAAAATTGCAAACTCTGCTTTTATACTATTGTTCAGATCAACGCTTAGTGATCAAAAGTAAATTTATGACCCTTTGCCTTTTTATTCGTCTATTTATTTGTTTATCTATGCGTGTGTGTGTTTGTCTCTGTCTGTCTTTCTTAATATTAAATTGTCAAATAGGTCATACATTAGTTGTACTATTGTTAGAAACTAGTTAAATTTGTTTAATTGTTGTGTATTTCTTAATTATCCATATCTATATTATTTATCTCTCTTTTTTTTGTCTATCTCACTCTAGGCCCTCGTTTTCACACGTATATCAACATATATATATACACACACACGCACAAGCGCTGTCTTTCCCTTTTATTCTACCCCTTTGTCTAGTAAATTTATTATCATATCAATGAATACACAACTTAGGGACTCTCTCTCTCTCTCTCTCTCTGTCGCCTTATATATACTGTATATACTATATATACTATAATTTTAAATTAAGTTAACTTTCTTCTCATTTTCTTTCCCCTCTTCCTTCTTCTTTATAACATTTTTTCCTCTACAGTACTTTTTCTATTTCAAGTTCTTTTTTTTCTTTTGAAACTTTTAAATAAATAAAAGAAATAAATAAGTAGAAATAAAAGAGAAGAGAGAAAATTTAATAGATGAAAACATAATATATTGAACATATGGATAGATGAGTAGAAAGAAAGATCCTTTGATGTGAAACAGATTGAAAAGAAACGAAAATGTATTATGTAATTTCATTGATGTATGTTGTAATTTTACTGTTATATTTTTATTGTACATATTTTGGTGTATCTCCCTCTTGGTGTTCAATAAATAATTTACAGGTGAGGAATGTAATAAATCGGTAAAAGTAGACAATTCAATATTTTGTAAATATTTGTATACAAGTAAATGAGAGGGAGGTTGGGAGAGGGGAGAGGAAGAAAGGAAAAGAGGTAGTGAAAGAGAGAGAGAGAGACTAGGGGAGGAGTTGATGCGGGGGAGAATAACTGAATAGACGATAGAGAGAATGTAACAATGAAAAAAAAGAAAAAAACAAAGAAAGAGCGAAGAGAGACAGACACATATGTACTATATAAATACTATCTGATATAAGTATACACAAATATATTTATTTGGAATATTTTCATATGTTTATAATATACATATTGCGCGTTTAAGATGATTTAATATATAATAAAGTAAAAAATAACTAATTCATCCTATTTCTCTTTATCTTTCAGCTGTTAAATAATTAATTTTTAATAAACAAATATTATCTTTAATTGATAGACTAGTTTTTCTGTTTTGGACAATGGTAAACTTTTAATAGAGAATAATTAACCTAAATTAATAAGTGTTTTTCATTTCCTACGCAATTAGATTATTTTAAAGGTTAATTAAATATTCAAAATCACCTTGTTATTACTATAAAATTGATAGCTATCAACAACATTTTCATCTATTGTTAGACTTCAGTTGAAAAATTACAAGTTCCTAAATAATAAACAACTGTTAATTAGGTTAACATCGAAGAAATAGTTAAACATTTCTTACTAAGTTCTATTATCTAATAGATACTCTTTTTGATAAGTAAACAGAATTTTAATACAAATTTTTACTCTTCGCTCTCTTCTTTCTTTAGTTGTCGTTTGTATAATGTAGAAAAAAATATGACTAAAGCGATAATTGAATTGCTGTGAGCATTTCAAAAATTCTACCAGCGTAAAGATCAATTAGGCGTCTCCTTTAGCGTCTAATTGTTTTGCGGGTAGCTA